TTCGGGGTGGACAGCTTTCTCAAGAAACGGTTTTGGGGAAGAGGTATGGTCTTGTAAATCAGCAGACAATTTACTTTCCTCTTGTATAAATCCCAAGACCCCTGAACATTTGCCCAGAGCCCCCTCCACGTGGTAGTGTGGTCCCTCCTGTCCTGTGCGCTCTGGTCTCAGGCCCTCGGGGTCTGTGGCCAAGCTCACTCTTTTGCTCTCTGTCTCCTGGCTTCGTCTGTTCAAGGGGATGGATGACCGAGGGCTGCTGCACAGCCAGCCTGCTCTCTCCCTTCACCTCTCTGCTAAATGAATGTGATCAAAGTGTGCCTTAGACACGGGAACCTAAATAATGGGGCTGCATTTCCTTGTGGAGCTCAGTAACATTTACTGGGCCCAACAGCTTCATTTTCGTCAGTCTCTGCTGCATTAATGGCTGGCTTCAGGGTGGGAGGTAAGAAGGGAGGGAATGAAGAATTGCTGAGAGGGACTCAGGCGACGCAGCTAACGGATGGCCTTATTAGAGACACTCTCCCTGGGCCTAAGTGAAGTCTTTTTGTCTGAGTTGGCAAGAAGTGGGTCATTTTCCTGAGCTGTCGGGCTCAGTGCTTACTTGACTTGTGGCTGTAGGTGCAGCAAGCTGTTGGCTTCCCCGCTGGCTTTTGGTTTTCTGAGATATTCTAATGGCCCAATCTCTCTAGGCCTTCCCAGAGCAGGACTGGACTTCTCCACAGATCATTTGTTTCTTTTCTGAGCTGTAGGCTGCTTCATAACACTGCGTGCCTCATGCACAGCTAGCCACAGTGGAGATCCCTGAATCTCTGCCCCAAGGCTGAGCTGGTCCAGTGGTCCGGTGGTTCAAAATACCTGGAGAGCCAGAGAAATATTGCTGAGGCTCAAAAACATATGCATATCAAGAAACATCTTTAAGTAGAATAAAGAGCAGGCTCAACTCATGTAAGTATTACTATTATTTCCCAATGTAACTACTATATGTGATGGTTAGTAAAATTGAAATTCATTTAAAATATTTCTGAATTTATAGCAATTCTCATCACTATGTAATTTCTCAATCAAGTGGGTATTGAAAGAATGGTCATGGTCCTGTGTGGTTCTGCACAGCCCTTTCATAATATAGTGTTTTCATAATATCTGCTAAGAATTTGCTCTCCATCAATACTATTCCCAGTATGTGACATGCTGTCTCTTGTAGGCTCTACTTGTCACAGATTATATATCAGTGACCTTTCAGCATGTTAATAGGAATCCTTCTCCACCCACAGCTGCTATTTGGAAAAAATTTGGAAGAATTCGGTCATTGTATTTACTTCTCCCATTCCACCAGTCCAAGGGGCTTGTGGGTAGTCATTCCCTAGGAATACTAAAGGGCAGAATTCTTGGATGGTCAAAACACAATGCAATCTACAGTCTGTTACTTAACAAGACTGTACTCTCAGTCTTTGAATAAGGCTGTATTATCCTGTCACTCTTGCTGGTTAAAATTGAAAAAAAATAAGTTTTGGTTCCATTCTCTCTCTACTCCCCATACACTTTTCTTCCAAAGTCCCTAAGTGATCGACAGATATACACCACAATGTAAGGGGACATGCTGCTCAATTTTGAAAACCTCTAGAAAGATAAGTTGTATCTGTTTCTGCTTCTTGCACCAAGACTGTGACACAGGAGGGGAAGCTGCTGGGAGTGGGAAATAAACCAGTATCACTAAACAGCCTCTTGCAGATTTAAAAATTCTAACTGCTTAATTAAGCCTGACTTGAAAATCATTTCTGTCTCCAGCATGAGGAAGAACAAAAAATAAAGTGAAACTGTGCCTTGAAATTACTTCTCAAAACACATGTAACATACTTGAATTGTTAGATAAGGAAATAATTTTATGGAGCCAGGTTTGTTTTCCCCAAAATCATAGATTAATAACTGCATCTTTACAGATTGAGAACACTTAAATACATTTTCTACTGAATAATACTGCCTTGATTTCTTTGTGCCACTGTTCTTTCTTCCAACCCCCTCTTTCTCTTGCATATCCCAGAAATTAGAGAAAAGCCTCCTAACCCCTAGTTTTTTTTCACTTCTGAACACACACATTTCTCAAACATATTCAGACACGTTGGAGCCAGCAGATATAAAGCTGCTGGTTTTAAGTCCATGATTTATTTGCTAAAACTGGGAATGATTTTGAGCAGAAAATTAGAGAGAGGAACAGAAGGAGAGTCTCTCCCTTCTGTCCATGGCTCTGCAGGGATTTCTGTTGGAGCCAAAAGAGAAGAATCAGACAGGAGGTTTCTTTCGCTTCCAAGAGATAGTAAGTCAATTGTTGCGTTATATTTTAGGTAGCTGCGTCTGCAACAAAAGCACAATGGAAAGCTAGATGGATTTATAGATAGATACCTAGATGGGTGATAAAGAGAAATAGAACGTACATTGAGGAACTGTGTCACAGAATGCCTTTGGAAGATTATTTGGCTGCCAGAGATGCCACACATAAAGAAGATAAAGGAGATAGAGCCAATAAGCTGGAAATCTATTATGACTACAGCGTTGGTGGATTCTGGAAGAAGAGAAAAGGAATAGTAGGGGTATCACCAAAGAAGACTAATGAAGATAAAATTAGAAAACACTAACCAAACTGAGATACTATGCTTTTTCCCCCTCCTGCGAGCTTAAAGGATACTTTTTTCAAAAAAGATAATTTTTAGCTCTTGTATTAAGGATAAAGAAACCAATATACAGATAAGTTTGTTGACTTTATCAATTTGTTTGGTGTGTCCTGCTATAATGGTTTTTACTCTTAGTCTATCGATAAAGACATTTCCCAGGATAAGGCTGAAAAGAACAAGTTAAAGAGATTGAAATGTAGCATGATATGTGGTCAGACCCAAACTTAGCATTTAGATTTTAGGTAAATCAGTAGACAGAACCATAGGCAACATCATCACCTATACAAGAAAAATTTTTGGTTTTTGCCCCTAAGGAATAACATGAAGACTTTATGTATCAAATAGAGTTTTTTTTTTAAGTTGAATATAGTCAATTTATAATGTTGTGTTAATTTCTGGTGTACAGCATAGTGATTCAGTTGTACATATTTATGTGTGTGTGTATATATATATATATATATATGTATATATATATATATATATATTCCATTTCATATTCTTTTCCACTATCGGCTAGTCCAAGGTATTGAATATAGTTTCCTGTTGTGTAGAGTAGGACCTTGTTGTTTATCTATTTTATATATAGGAGTTAGTATCTGCAAATTTCAAACTCCCAATTTATCCCTCCCTGCTTCCTTTCCCCTCTCTTAACCATAAATTTGTTTTTTATGTCTGTGAGTCTGTTTCTGTTTTGTAAATAAGTTCATTTGCGTCAGCAACCTAAATGCCCCTCGACTGATGATTGGATAAAGAAGTTGTAAGATATGTGTATACGCACACACGCACACACACATGTATGCACGCACACAATGGAATAGTACTTATCCATAAACAAAGAATGAAATAATGCCATTTGCAGCAACAGGGATGGACCTGGAGATTGTCATACTAAGTGAAATACAGTTTATTTTTAAAAATTATCAAACAGTATTTTCTTTAACAGATGAAATATTACTTCATATCTCTGATGTCAGCTAGAGGGACTCATCACCCTTTGTTACCCAGGGCAGATTTCTTTGACTGTGCTAATGGTATTGAATCCCAAGGAAATTTGGTGATCTCCCCAAGATTTTAGTGATTTAAATTAGAAGAACATTAAAAACTCATATGGACTTAATCTTACAGTTTTCTTTGCCTCTGTGTTTTCTGTCTGTGTGTCTTCTCATCTCTTTCACACACTTTCAATTTAGATACAGAATTCAGTCTCTTCACCTAAGATCCACAAAAAATCCAGTCACAACATTTTGTTTGGTTTGTAGATTTTGCAGGTAATCTGGAAAGAGGATAAAACATGGTGCTCAGAATCCTGATGTTTTTCTTGCTATATTTTCCACATCTACAAGCAAAGGCAACAGATATGAATTATGTGAAGGCATTCAGGACATGTGGCTTTTAGTTCAGGTCTGCCCTGCTGTGGGATCTGGGGCTTGTCATTTAAGTACTCTGAACTCTTGTCATTTGAGGTTATATCTGTAAAATGAAAAACTTGGACTATTTTTCCAGGTTCTTTTAGTTATAGATTTCAGGGACCTCCATGGCATAAGGGCTATGTCTTCCATTTTTTGGAATCCACCACAGTGCTAGGTCTAATGTATGTACCTATGGGAATGGGTTATTAATAGCTATTTATGGCTTTCTTAAAAAATCCTTATTCTGACATAAACCTAACACCTGGTGAACTCTCTGGACGTGAAACTACTTCAATTGGACAAAGCAAAAACTGCTGTAGTCAATGTTGTTCTGAGCTATTCTCATCAACTCCCCTTTAGTGCAGGATATTTACCACCAAAGTGAAGTCTTTAGGATTTAAATAATCCATAAAGCATAGCAGTTTTGTCATGTTCAATATCTAAGAAGAAAGTCTTCTTTATATTCAAAGTTCAGTAGATAATTAAATAAGGGAACAGATAGCAGGTGCAATATCTGTCCATTTCAGACTCTGTAGCAGTTGATTGGGTTTGTTTGTATGTGTTTTGTCTGCAGTGACTATACTCATACCCATACCCATTGCATAATGTGGCCAGAGTAGCTCAATGCATCTAGTGCCCACAGGCATGGACCTTGTAAGCTCAGGGTGGGTGGCCTTTGCTTCTAAACTAGATCTTAATGTCCCATCCAAATTTCTGTACACAAGTATGTAGGTTTCCTAGTGTGCTATTCTAAAGGCATACACACGCACAAATGCTCTCGCCCCCTTCTTAATCTGAGGCCTGAAACTTTAGGATTATGTTCTCTTTCCTCTTATAGTGCCTCACTGGTACAATTTTTATAGTAAAATATTCATAGGATCTTCTTTCTAGGGGCTCTGGCGGTCAGTACATAATATCCCTTTGTTGCTCTTCTGAGTTCTGATCCAATTAATGCAGAAGACAAGTATATCCTCTGGTATGATAAGATGGTGATTTCTTTATTACCGGGAAAATCCGCTGGAGATTAAAGCTCTGGAACTGTGACCAAAAGGTCGTGCTAATGCTTTCTGTCTCCTCTGTCCCCTTCCAGGTTCCTCTGTCACTGGTGTCTAGACCCTGTAACAGGTCATATAATAGAAAGTTTACCTGTATAGAATAGTCACACTTACCTAGAATTATAGATTTATGCTTTTCAAGATAGAGAAAGAATAAATACATTTCCATAGCTTGCCTTTAAGTGGAGCTTAGCTCTATCCAGTCAAGAAATGTAGATTTATGAATGTCATCTGATATCCAAGTAATTCAATCTTGGAGGGTCAGAGACTGAGGCATCCCTATACTGGAAGTTCTTCCACGTGGAAAACAGAAACCAAGGAAAGGAGGTTCCCCTCAGCATTACTTTTATTCAGGATTAAAAATTCCTCTAGTGTTGGCCAAAGGTATGAATCCTTGAGAGTAGGACAATTGTGTGATATCAATTGTGGCCACTTTCTCTTTTTCCCTCAACTATAGGATATGATTTTCATGTCGTCTTTTATCACCCTCCTCCCTCTAGTATTTTATCAGTCTTTTGCCTTCCACACAGAGGAATTCTTGTACCCCCTAAGGCCAGGAGGTAAAATGTGTCCTATTAATTTCTCCCTCCCTTGCCAATGAGTTTTTCATTGAGCTTTGGGAAAAGATTGCAGGAAGGTCTGAGTAATAGCTCCAGCTCCTCTGATTTGGCCTGTATTCAGTATAAATGCTATGAGTCCTATTGGCAACAAATAGAATTTTTACACCCTCTGTCACCCTTCCTGACTACCCACCATGTCCAGTCACTACAGACTTGAATGTTAAGTGCAGGTTACTTATGTTGTTTGATGTTAATGGTGAAATGGCTGGCTTGATTATATCCCACATCAAGTATTATCCAGAGAACATATAAATTAACCTTTGATTCATAACATTTCTCAATATTTAAATTTAAATGGCAATCTAAGCTTTTAACGTTGTATGTTATTTTTAATACCTTGAACCACAATAGGAAACACTGATTACTATAATGCTGAATCTGTGTGAATAGTATTTAAAAATCACTGCCACTATGGTAACCAAAAAAAAAAAACAAAGCTATTCTATGTTATAAAGAGTCTATTAAGATTTTCTTTTTACTTCAGATTGATTTCCACATGCTTTTATTCATTTCATATAAATGACTTTTCTGAAACAGAAGTGATTGTTTGCTTTGCTCCTTATTTCTTAATCCTAGAATATTCAAATGCTTTGGTAGACTATAAGACTCAGCAATCGACATCTGAAATAATTGTAGTAAAATCAGGACTCAAAATTGCATAGAAATACTGTTCCCCAAACATTGTCTTTCCAGCCCATTTTATGAAATTCAACCATGAATAGTTGGTAATCTTTATGCAAAGAATCCACTGTATGGACTGGTCATAACCATTGCTCAATGTCAAGTGGTTATACTCCAGCTACCTACCATGGTCTAGATTCTTACACCCTGGAGTTAGCAGGTATGTGTGCAGTGGGTATAGATTCAAGATGATGATGATGATGATAGTGATGATTCCTTCCATCATATATGCAATTAGTCATCCATTCAACCCCCTAAGCTAGACAACTAAACAACTAGTGAAGTAACCCACTAACATCTACTGACATCATTGTACATGGCACTGGTTTTATGTTGTAGGTTACCTGCAGAGACTAAAAGTGTGTTTTCTAGTGTGTGTGTGCTTTCAAATAATACATGCACATAGCTAAAAATATTTAAGTAAGAACAATCTCCTGCCTTATCTGCCCGCAAATCCTACTTCCTGCTTTTACAGTTTGTTTTAATTATTATGTTCATTAGCATCATATACCTCATAATGCTGTAAATAGATATATGAATTTTAGATATTTCATATTAGCTTCATGTTGTAATAGTTAACACTTCTGGTCATTCAAACCATCCCCTAATTTTCCCAACTCAATATGCTTATACATCTATTCTCAGTTCTCTTTCTAGTCACTTCTGTATGAACTGTTTACAGCCAGATTTAAAACTTCATTTTTTTTTGTTCCATGAAGCAGAGACTATTTCTTAACCCCTATTTTGTAAGTTAAGAACACTTGCATTTTTGCCTATCACTCTAGCTTGCTTCCTACCTTAAAAATATTTTTTTCATAAAAATAGGAAATAAAGTGTTATTGTCTTGTATTTGGGTAAGCCTCATAGTCTGCAAAATGTTCAGGCTTGGGAGGTGATCTTTAGGACTACTGATAGCCTTTATTAGAATTTGAAATGAAGGAGTAGCCATATATGGGTATTAGCCACATCCTTTATAAGGTTTCCTGATGTGATTACAATCTGATGTTGGTACTGAATATTGAGTCCTTTGAAAGAGAAATCACCTTGGTGGCAGCACCAGTAATAAGGGACATTCAGAGGAGATATCCCAGCCTCACAGAATAAAAGGAAAAAAAAAAGATAACATGAACACTCTTTGAAGAAAATGATGATGGGTATAAAAGAGTGAAGGTATTACAAATGAAGGCCTCTGGGTTGGTGTTTGTTCATGACAAAGAAAGAAAATAAATGGAGAAAGAAATAGTTTTTGCTTTCTTTTGTTAACGTTGACACCAGAGGGTTCAAGAGGTAACCCTCCCGTAGAATAAGGACTTTAAAAGGTTAATGTGATAGCCTTTGGATTATTGCTCGTTTGTATTATTTTGAGCTTTACCCTCACTTTCTCTTAGGTTCACTGCCTTGTAAATAAACACTTTCAGGAGAACAGAGGAACTATGTGAGCAAACCATTTAACCTTGTGAGTTTTGGTTATCTCTTCTGGAAAATGAAGGTGGGGAACATGATCGTTTGTGAAGTCATTTTTTGCTGTAAATTCTGTACTATGCATCAGAAGTCAGGAGGCTAGATCTAGGTACACTGAGGTTGAGAAAAGGATCTATGAACGATATCTCACGTTTGTAAATCACACTACAAATTATAAACTCAAATGTTGGCCTTGCCTTATTGATTTTTCAGGAAACCCTGGGAAATGCACTGGTGCATTTGCCCAAGATCTTGTAATTAAATAATGGCTGGGCTGAGATTAGAAACCTGATTTCTTCTTTCCTAGTGGAATTTTTTTTTTCATTTGCCCTTTGAGGTAGACAACACATCGGTACATGGTGTCTTTTCCATATTCACATTTCCATCACATACACACATTTGATCTTCTGTCACCACCATTTGAGAAGTTATGGTTGACCTCATCTTCTTTTCATGATTCTTAGTTGCTGCTTTTGCAGAGCAAGACCCAGGATTAAAGATGAGTTCCTTGATGTACTGACTATTAATATCTTGGAGAGATTAGGAGCTTTGTCAGTGTGATATTATTTCCTACATGTATTTAATTATAAAATGTACATTCCACCTAAACTGCAGAAATGAAATAAATAAAAGAATTGAAGGAGATTACCAAAGATAAATTTTAAATTAACGCACTGCTCTGCAGGTCAAGAGAGAAAATATCTTTTCCTGTACAATTTTTTTGTGAGGGATGTCTTTTTACATGAATGGTGTTACCAAAAAGGGTATGTTTCCAAAGGTGACACACTGTAAGTCTTTCCAGGAATTTTTTTTTCCAAACTAGAGTTGCTGTTACATAATGTATTTTGGAAAAAGATTGCTGAGTGACCTTAGAGCTGGGGAAATTTGTAGGGATGTGGAAAAGAGTAAGAAGAGAGATGAGGAGAAAAACTCCAAAGAACTGTTGCCTGGCAGATTTCTTCATAACAGTGGGAGCTCTGCCAGGTACTTTCATGCATTGGCCAAGGACTATTTTTCCCAAGAAAACTGTAGATTAATGCAGCTCCTGAAGTCTGGTCTGCGAGTGGTTGTGTCTATTTCACAACTGGGGAACTCTGCCAAAGTTTCAGGTACCCGAGTCTGTCTGAAGCTATGGTGGGCACAGAAAGTTGCAGGAGGACATGAAAACTATCTGGGCTTTACAGCAGGAAAGAAGGAAACCACCAAAGCTTAGCTGTATATCTGAAATGAGGCTTTGGATAAATCCCTGTCCCCCATTTCCAACCCAGGTCATTTCCTAACCTGTTAGCTGTGGCAAACCAAGGAAGCCAACTCTTATTAGAATGAAAACATTATCAAGACATCATAGAATATGAGGAATTGAAAACACTCCAGGTATCATCTAGGCCAGATCACTTATTTTGCAGATGAAGATACTGAAACCCAAGGAGGTTAAGCATTTTGCCCAAGGTTAAATAGCTTGTTAGTGCCATATCTGGGATTGGAGCCCAGATCCCATGACTACTGGGCCAGTGCTTTTGGTCAGATTCAATATAGTCTGTCCATATGGTCAAGCCATATGGCAGGGTCCTCAAAGATCTGGTTCTGCCCCCAGAAAATCTAAACTGGTCATTGTTTCCTTTTTAGTTTTGTTTCTAATTCACCTACCCCTATATGTCAACCCTAATTAGTAAGGTGCAAGCTTATAATTTAGACCATGTATGTGCAGAAGAGTAGGTAGGCTAAATTAGGGTAAAGAAGCAGAAAGAAACATGCCCAGCAGGGAGAATGACCTGAGAAAAGACATAAATGTGATAATTTGGCTGGTGTCCTTAGCAGCCAGTGCAAAGACTAACATTTCCCTGTTAAACTAAAGGAACACATCAATGTAGAGACATAGTTCAAGATCAGGATATTTAGAGAGTCTTTAGTGAAATTTCAGAGTTTAGGTGGGATTCTGAGTGCAAGGAGAAATCCTGTAGATTTTTGAAGAGAGCAAGGCTTGTCCTAACCATTATCAATTAGATTAATGCAATAGCAGCAAATAGGACTGATTATATCAGGAAGAACTTATAGGCACAAAGGCCAAGTAGGAAAACATTTTTATGTCTAGATTATTTTACATGTATCTTGGGGAAGA